TCTTTTTTCAAGATTCCTCAACACAGCGGGCACAAATCGGTGTTTATCTTCTTCCAAAAAGTGCACACTTGTCTCAACCACTTTGGAGTCGGAGTCTGAGATTTGGCTACAAGTCTTTACAAAGACCTCAGCCCAGCCGACAATAAGCCCGCATGTTCCATCGCGCCTTCCCACCACTCTGAACTGGGTCACCTCGCATCCCGATGGACGAGGCACAAGAAAACCACACTTCCATTTTTTAGGTCAAAGGTGTTTGTTGAGAACTGGTTTGTTTTCCCTTAAGATCATCGTCCTTGAGTCGGTGCCTATACACATATCCGCACACACATGCACTCACCATACATAGATTTTTTGAGGTGAGGTTGCCTACATGCAATAAGCCCTCATTCAAAGAGGGGTTCATGACACTTTGATTAAAGGACAGATGTGCTGGAGGCGCCCACGTTAGCCTAGAACAACACAACACATGCTTTTTCTTTGCGCCAGGTCAGGGCCACACAGCGGCACATCTAAGTAGTTTCCTGGGTTGATCACGCTGGCCTTGAATATGGACCGAGCTGCCTCGGCCTCGGCACACCTCAGAGCCTCGTTTCTCAGACTGACCTTCGTGTGCAGGAGCCTACTAAGGTGTCAGTGCCAAATACCTCTGTACTGGCCAGGGCTTTGTCCTTCAGGCCCAGGGCATGTGATCCTTGGCAGGGCTGACTTAGGAGTCTGTGTAAGGAGCTGTCTTTTGCAGGGGAAACTCCTAGAAAGGTACAAAAGGAAAGAGAGGAAAGGGCTTGCTGTTCTTTTTAGTGTTTGCTTTGGTTAGATGCAGGATGATCCTTGCTTGGTGTCAGCTTGGCCTGGCATTGTGGTAACCACTCTTGGGCGATCTAGCTATTTAATGAGCTGAAAAGGTAGGCACCGATTCCTGTAAATAGCCATCTTCTCTTGTAAGACTTCTTGGAAGGGGTGAAGGGAGTGGTGGGGGAGGGGGGAAAGAGGCAGACAGAGAGAGAGGTGTTTAAAGGAATATGTATATGTGAGTGTTCTCCAAGTAAATATTTCAGAGTTGGGATGGAATAATTAGGAAAGAAATTGTCACCTGGGCATGTCAGTTTTTTGTTTGTTCACTCTGTATTGAGTTAATGCCAACTGATGAAGCCCTTAATTTGGGTTTGGGATGCCCCAACTTTTCTTTTGTGAAAATGTATTTATTTATCTATCTATCTATCCATCATCTGTCTCTTCCTGTGGATGCTTTAATTTTATTTGGAGTTGGGTACTTTGTGGGAAAGAACCCTGTGTGCCTTGCCTGTCACACAAACAGCGCACTGGGATGGGGTGGGGAGAGGGAGAGACAAGCAGCGGAGAAGGCCCTTCCCTGCCCCCTACCCCCAGCAAGAAAATGAAAAAGATAAATAAGCCCTAATCCTGACCTGGGGGCAAATCCCAGTAAAGATCCAGGGTAATTCTTCCTGCTGATCCAACCCTTGAATTCATTGTATGAATTAGACAGTTCTATGGCTCTAATTTGCCAGATGAGATTGTATAATTATCTTTTATAGGCCTGGGTGTGATGTGTGCTGGTGTTTACGCTGCAGGGGGCTGAGGGCGTGTGTTTGGACTTAGAGGTCCTGCTCTGCCCTGCCTGGCTGTGCCTTCCAGCCTTCCATGCGAGCGGGGGCGGTGGCTGTGGGAGCATCTGCCTGGATGGAACGCAGGAGGTTGAAACGGAGCCAGAGTCAGGGGGGCAGAGCAACGGCGGGGGGCAGTTAGGGGAGGGTCTTGGGGCGGGGGTGGGGATCAGTGGGGGCATTCGACAAAAGGTCTGAATGAAGGCTGGCAAGTTTGGAAATTGGAAGGAAGGAGGCAAGTTCAGGAATGAATTACCATGCTCCTGACCTTGGGCACTTCATCTTCGTGAGCTCCTTCGTCCATAAAAAAAGATACTAAAATTATATTTTATGACTGCAGTGGTATAAAGACGAATATCATCCAGGGTGCATTCATTGCTCTATGGGCATTTATGTTACAGTCATTTCATTCCTTCTGATTATAAAAGAAATTAGAACATCTCATGGGCCTTTAGAAGTATTGTGGGTCCTGGTCACTGCTTAGTGGCCGTGCCAGCCTTAGGTAGGTTCCTAGAGATGAGACCCAGTGGTTTGGTGTCCTGACAGCCATTTGGCCTGTTTTGTAGACGTCACTCCTGTGATAAAGTGTTGAAGTCCCCCGTCCTATCCCACGTTTCCTTCCACTCCCTGGTCTTCTTGTTTAGCACGTGGCCTTGTGTTGTTGGCATGGTAGACTTTTGGAGAAGGGAGCTAGTTGGTTTGGGAGAGGACACACTCCAAGCTAATGTCTTCTTGTGGCTTCGCTTGCTAGGTCTTTCTTTCCCCTAAGGTGTCCAGGAAGAGCGGTCCCTTCCGTCTGCGTTGGGTTGAAAACCACTAGGTGATATTTGGCTCAAAGCATTCCTGGAGGTGTCCGAAAGGAACTGGTCAGGGGGAGGGGCGGGAAGAGAGGGACATTTGGGGACAGGCTATGGGTAGGCAGTTGTTGTCTCTGGCCTCCCTCAGAGAGTTGGGGACAAGTGTGGCGTACTGCTGTTGGCCTGCTTCTGTAGGAATGACAGGCACAGCATCGGGAGGAATATGTACAGCCATGCAGGTTCCATATGGCTGATGTTGAAGCCGGAGTGTGAGGGGAGAGAGAGGCAGGACCCAGGGATCCAGGAAGCCCAAGATCTTCCCCCTGCCCTGGGTGGCCATGCCAATGGGAAAAGCAAAGGGGGAAGAGACACCTACTCGTCTTAGAGCAAAAACTAATCATTCTTTTTAATGCAGTCGTTCTAGAGGTTAAGTCGCCTAGAACTGGAGTGAGTACAGGAGTGAGCCAAGGGGGCAGCTGTCTCTTGGGATGTGAGTGGTGTCTCCCTCACCCACCTGACAGTTCAGAAGTCAACTGGGCAGATGTCCGGGGCCTACAGGAGGAGAGCTGGTTTCCACCCCAGAGAGGAAGGACCTGGCTGGAGAGCAGTGTGGGGTCAGTTTGCCTGAAGTTCCAGGGAGGAAGTATATAAGGGAGTGTTCAAGGGGATCCCTTCTAAGCCCTTGCTACTCAGTGTATCCCTGGACCACCAACGTTGTGTCCACCCAGGAACTAGTTAGAACTGCAGAATCTCAGGCTGCCACCCCAGACCACTGAGTTTGAATTTTAACAAGATCTGCAGATGATCCTCCATCTTTGCTGCATATTAGACTTACTTGATTTAAATTTAAACTTGGTTTAAAAATAATTTAAAAAAATTAAACCCAGTGCCCAGACCTCAGTACCGATGAGCGTGACTGGAACTGGGACCCAGGCTTCAGCATGATTTTCTAGTTGCCCAGGGGAGGAGGACAGTGATTTCTGTGAGAAGCCAAGTCTGAACCTTCCCTCCCCTCCTCATCATCAGATTTACAGAAGACCCCTTCCAGTCTCGCTCTAATCCCATCCCCGTGTCTGCTGCTAATTGGTGGATTGAGATGTCATGGGGCTGCAGGAGTTTAGATTTACTTGTATTAAATTTCCTATCACCCCTGGAAGGGCAAGGCTGCAGCCACAATGCGTTTATCGAATGCTTTGCACCTAATAAACTGAACATGAGTTGGGTCTGGTGTGGCTTTGTATAAAGCAGCAACAGGAACCGGACTCCATTCTGGTGTCTGAGTTGGACTTGGAGGGTGTTTTGTGGTTTTGCTTGCTTCTTTTTGAGTTTTATAGCATTTGCGAATCATCTAGTTAGGTCCCAAGCGTTGCACAGTTCTCACTGGAGCTAAAATTGTCAAGATCTTTGCTGGGGTCAAAAGCCCTATATTGCATTTGAGGTTGGTCCTGGGGTAAGTTCATGGGTGTGTCTGAGGAAGCCAGGCCCAGCAAATGTGCGTCCCCAGGTTTGGTGGAAAGGGGACTGTAGCACAAGGGGACTCTGATCTGGTGGCCAGAGTTGGTTGACGGGGTGGCCGCAAAGTACCAGCCCGGCCCCAGTCCTTAGTAACTCTAGAAACTGCAGGAGCGATCCAGGCCCCAGGCGGTGTGTGTGTGCACACTGCGAAGGAACAAAACACCACCCAAACAATCCTTCCTCTTGTGAGTGAAGGTTACAAGTTTTCTGTTTCAAATCTGATGGTATTGTTTTTCCCCCTTTTCTTTCTTCTCTCTGTTTTCATTTGCCAAACTAAGGGTCTAGAGTGATTTCTTTGAGCCTAATGATGGGGAAACTGAGAATGGTGCTATTATCTTTAAACACCTTTTGAAATACTACTCTTCCTGGTGTCTGAATTAGGTTGAACAGAGGTCGGATTTAAAGATTAAATATTTTAGCAGGAACAGCAACTATGCTGATAACTGTACATCTTCTCAGGAATTACATGGATAGTATAGAGTAGTCTTGCTCTCTAGAAACCCATAGAAAGTAGTAAAATCAATAAAAGTGTAGCTAATTTATTAAGTGTATGATAGGGGTCGGGCACAGAGCTAGATGCTCCTCATGTGTTATCTCTCCCACTTAATGAACTTAGACATCATGAGGTCAGAACATAGAAAAGCTCAGAAATGTGTAATAATAGCCTTTAAGTAAAAGACTCAATAAAAGCAGAACTATGGCAATAGATTATTGTGTAGTAAAGTTCCATTGTGAATTTAAGTTTTGTTATAACTTGAAAAAAATGACTACCTAGTGTAATATCCATTTACATTTTAGTTTATTCAAGGGCAAGTTTATTATGATGATAACCCCATATTTCTGGAAAATAGTCTGCAGTTTGCCGTGTCCACGGCTGACATGGGAAATGGATTTCTCCCTTTATTCTGAATTAATGTGGTTTTATCCTGTATTGAAGAATAAACAGCTGTTAAACTCCTACATCCTTGGGAGGCTGGCTGACATTCAGAGACCACTCTCTGTTTTAAGTTGGAAGATAAGTTTCATGATTCTGTTTCCTTAGGTAACTCTTTCCTTTTCTTTCCAGGTGAAATCAGAGGTTTGTGGCCAACCTGAGCAGGTGCTTTGAACCAAGGAAGGATAAGAGAGAAGGTGAACCTGAGCACGAAAGGTAATCAGAGCACAGCTGCTCTGCTGCAGCTGTGTTGCCCCGACATCCCTAACGCACCTGCCCGCAGCCCAGAGCAGAGACTGGTGGGCGGCAGCCGTCAGGGGAGGTTCGGAGACCCGGCTTAATAAGCAGTATAGTCATTGTGATCGATTCAAGCCAGGCCATGTCCTCGCAGTTTTTGCTTAGATGAATTCCTTGTCACTTCTCGCAGCCACACACAGATGAGGAAACCAAGGTACAGTCAATTCAGCCGAGGTCATACAGTTATTTAGTGAGGGATCCAGGATTCAAAGCCAGAGCCTGCACTGGCGCTGTGTTCTCTCTCCATTCTGACTGGTAGTGTGCTGTTCCAGCTGCCTGGTGCTCGTGCATCTGCTCCTGCCACCTAGCCTTTATACACAGGGTCTGACACAGGGCACAGAAGTCTTGCAGGGTGCAGGGAGAGCCTTCAGGCAGGTGGCTCAAAGCCTGCAGTTCTAGAGAACAGAGAAACGTATGGATTGCACCTGCTGACCTTCAGGAGCTCAGAGACTGATTGTGGGATTAAAGGGGATTTCAGGGCTTTCTGGAACTCTGTGGACTGATGTCTGGTCCTAATAAAGCGTGATTTGGGCCTGGGGCTACTCTCTGACTTGAAAGGGTGGGATTTGCCCATCGCTGTCTAGACCCCACCATCCGCAGCAGCTACCCTTCTGGCTGTAGGTCTGGCTCATCGGTACGTGTCAGTACAGCAGGTAACTGGCAGCTCAGAGTGTGGGCATGCTTGATCAGACGCAGCACAGCGTCTCAGCTTCTCCCATGGAGCCTGGGAGAGGGGTGCTGCGTGATGCTAAGCAGCGCTTTAGAACTGGACAGGTGGTGTTGCAAATCTCCCACTATTAGTCCAGCACAGTGGCAAAGAGTATGGACCTGGAAGGCCTGGGTTCAAATCCTACTTCCACTGTTTCCTCCCTTGGTGACCATGGACAGATGACCTTTGGTGTCCGCATCTGTAATATAGGGATAATAAAGATAATCCCTGTCATGTTGTGACTGGAAATGAGAGGCTACACAGGGTGAAGTGTCTAGCCCAGCACCTGGGGCATATTAAGTGTACAGTAGATGTCAGCTTTTGGGTTTTTTTTTCCTTTTCTCATTAGTCTGGATATGATGCTGGATAAATTACTAAGCCTCAGTTTTGTTATCTGTAAGATGGTAATGCTAATACCCTGTGGTCAGGGGAGGTTGTGAGTTAAAGGAGGTAACACAAATAGCCTATATCGTAATGAACGCCTTGTCTCTGAGTTTTCTTCCTCATTTGTCTGGTTCCATGTGGGTCCATTGGAAGGAATGTGGCTGGGGGACCTCACTCCTCCACCCACTAGAACACTGGGCCCTGACAATTACTCCACAGCGATTTCCGGATTTGATCCTCCTCCTCTTGAAGCCGCCCCACTGGTCTTGATTTTGGCAGCACCAGCTGGGCTACCCTCTCGGGGCTCCAACCCGTGCAATTCCAGTCTTTCTTTCCCAAAGTCATGCTGTGTGTGTTTTCCTAAGCCTTCTTTTGCAAACTCAGTATTCATCATGTCACTTTCTGCTAAAACAAACAAACAAACAAACAAACAAACAAACAAACAAACAAACAAAAAAGCCCTATCATTCCTCTTTATTGTCTTAGCCACCACATCTCACCGGGTGTTCTGCCGTCTCGCCCACTTCTCACTCCAGTTTGAGTCCTTCAGCCCAGCTCGCTGGCTTGCATCCTACCCCGAGACTGGAATATTTCTGCCCCTGCCCCTGTGCTCACCCCTCTGCCCCGTGTCACCGTTACGTGCTGCACCTTCTCACAACCCTCCACGAGCACAGGGGCCATGCAATGGCCGCTCCTTCCCCTGGCACATCGTCTCCCCGGCAGGTGCCTTGAGACCACGTGGGGTTGGGAATGGGCCTTGTTATCTGTTACTTGGGTGTTTCTTTCACCCCATCCTTTTTCACCGCTCATTTCAGGATCCTGTACAGACTCTGTGCTCAGACAATGGTGTGGATTACCTGGTAGGGGGATGGGCTTGGACAGGAGAGTTGGTTGCTTAAATGGTTCTGTCGCTGCTGTCTGGGTTTGAGTAACTGGCAGGCGCTGTGTGTATGGGGTCTGTGGGGGGGGGGGGGGGGGGGAGTTAATGAGTGACTCCCAGGGGATTTCCAGGCAAAGGTGTGGGCACTGCTTTTCTAAAAACAGCACCTTCTGCCTTAGCCAGCCCTCTTTCCTCCCTGCTCAGGTAACCCCTCGCTGAGTACCATTCCGTAAGGTGCACAGCCCCTTACCCCCTTCAGAATGGCAGTGACTCCCCATTCATTCATTCATCCATCCATCCATCCATCCATCCATCCATCTATCTAACAGACAGTTATTGGGTGCCTGCTGGTTCCAGGACTGTTCTAGGCAGAGAACACGATCCTGCTCTCAGGAACTTGTCTTCCAGTGGGGGTAGGGTAGATGAGAGACAGCAGAAATGGTGACTCAATGAAGCATCTAGTACATGAGAAGGTGATAGCATTGTCGGGGTGGGGGGTAGAAATGGGCTGGAAAGAGGGCTCAGAGGTGCTGGGCAGAGAATAGGGGGCAGGTGACAGCACTGAATAGGGCAGACACCTCATTGAGAAGGTGACACCTGAGCTCACCGGGAGATGAGGTTTCTGCAGAAGCAGCAGCTACCTCAAGGCCAAGATGGGGGTGTACCTGGTGTGTCTGAGGACAAGAGTGCTGGTGGGGTTGGAGCTCACTAGGGGAGCTGAGCACCCCCAAATGAGGCCAGACTGGGGAGAGCTGGGGGTGGGGGCGACAGGCTTTCCCACCAGGGGAACTGGGAGCCATGGGACAGCAGGGTTTTGAGCAAAGCATGCTGTGATCGGACTTACTAGGGGTGGGTAGGGTAGCTGCGAGGAGAAGGGCAGCTGAGGGGGAGGGTGCATTAAAGGCGCCTGTTCTTCACCTACCCACTCGCACACACAGGGCAGTAGAATAACCTTGATGGTGATAATGGACTGAGAATCATGATGAAACTTCTCGGGGGCTGATTCTCAATAGCTGTGACTGTCTCATTTGGGGTAGCCTCTCGCATTGCAGGCATGGCTTCATATGAGAGTCCATCTCCTCTCCTTGCTGCCTGCAAAGCCACCAGGGGTCACACAGACGGGCTGCAAGCTCAGCAGCAAAGGATAGACGTGAAAGGGAAAGAATAAAGGGAGTGGGAAACATTATAGGAGGAAAAAGACACATACCCCATTTTTCTGTTCTAACTGTGTTAGAACGGTGGGGGATACAAGCTGCTGTTAAAGGACACCTGATGGTGACATTATCACAGCACAGAGTGGCTAAGCTACTCACGGACATGCCCCGTGGTCTCCCCGAAGCCCTTTAGGGGTCCTCCTCCTTTTTTCCTTGCAGCCTTCTTTCCTTCTGCTCATCTTCCTCCTCCCTCAACAGTGTGGGACTCAACAATTTCAGGAATACATGGGACAGTTGTCGTAATGTCGTCATGCTATTTCTCCCAAGTTTGAGTACGTTATCCAATGACTTCACCAAGCTCCTGGCTGCTGGCTCTGTTGGGGACACTCTCCCACCCCGCCCCATGCACTCTTTTACTTCCAGGCTGGTGGCCCTGGGACATGGAGGGAAATGGTGGCCCGATGGCTGGGTCCACCTAATAGTAGTCGTAAGCAGTACTATTGCAATGTTACTGACTTGCATTGATGTAGCATACTTTCCGTTCAAAGGACTCATAACTATAGCCTTTGCACCCCAAAGGCTCCTGTGTGAGATCATTGGGAGCGGGAACTATTTTTATAGATAAAAAATCTGACACCCAGGGAGGACACACTCTTTCCTCAGGTCCATCCATCATGTGTGTGTGGCGGGTAGGGAGAGGCGCTGTGGCTACAATGGCGACGGCTGCCTGAACCGCAGTGGAGAGCGCAAAGGCAGCCGGGGCCCTGGGAGAAAGAAGCAAGTCCCAGTTCTGAGCAGCAGTGGGGATGACCTCACCCGGGGACGGGCGCAGAGCCATCCAGAGGATGGAACTTGCCCTCAGGTCTACATGTGAGTCACTGTGCTGTCTCTGCAGCAGGCTCTGTCCCCAGGCCTCCCACTTCACCCTGGGACATCATGGTCACTGGGCAGGCATCGTGACTCATTTGGTCTCTTGAGCCAGCCACTGGGGGTGGAGCCTCTCCTGGCATCTGTACCCTCGGTGCTATCGACGCAGCTTGGCTGGCCAAGAGCTCGGCTGCGATGTGCGAGACATGTGTGGCTGGAGAAAGGCCCTCCCACTCTGCAAGGGTCCAGCCAAAGCCGTGGCCACAGCGAATGCATTTCAAAATTCAGTTTGGAAAGTCCGGGGTGGGGGTTGCTCCATGGAGCTAGTACAGCTGAAACCCCAGCTTCCTGTGCCCCAGGGATGATGTGTACTGTGGTGCCTGGGAGGTGAAGGAATAGACAAAGCAAGCCGAGCTGGGAAGGGGGGGCTCCGTGTCACCCCACCTAGACAAGCAGAGTTCACCCAAAGGGCCGACAGCAGCTGACAGGGTGTCAGATTTCCCGCCACACCCAGCGCCCAGCCTCTGCTGTCATTTCTCCTCCTTGGTTATCATCTTCTAAGGATAGAAATAGTGTCATCTCTTCTCAACCTGTCAGTCTCACACCTGCTGGGAGCCCCTGGCGATGAGACAGCCAGTGCTGTCCAACCTGATGTCATCCGTGTTTATCATCTGTTTTAGAAACCAGGTAGCAAGAGGGACTTTCTGAGGATTAAAAAAAAGTAAATCCCCAAACTATTTCAGTGAGGTTCCCCCCGAGCCTGGTTCTTATTTTCATGTTTCCTTTTTCTCTTTCTTAATCTCTCTCTCTCTTTTAAACGGTATCTTATTGATTATGCTATTGCAGTTGTCCTGATGTATCTCCCTTTACCCACCTCTAATTAAAAGAAAAAAAAATTGTAAACAAGATCATTAGAGAGGAAGGA